TTGTTGAAAGAATAAATGAAGGAATGCATGAGGCCTGGAGAGGGGCAGGTCCCTCCCTCAGGGAGCCAGTTGCAGAGCTGGACAAATCTCTAGGCCAGATCACCCCCACCCCAGCCCTTGGCCTATCTTCACTGTGGCTTTGTCCCCATTGAAAGCAGTCCTGCTGATGGCCAGGGCAAACAAGGCTGCCAAGTGATCAGTTTAGGGTAGTCAGTGACCGAAGAGCACATGCGCCTCAACAGAACATCTAGCATGGACTTCCAGGATGACCTGTGGCTAAAGGGAGACATGGTAGAGGCTGGCAAAGATGGGAGGCAGAGCTAGTTGGGGACGGTGAGTCCAGAAGGGGCAGTTGTGCCCAGCCATCCTGTGACCATCTCATTGAGTTGTCTTCCAAGACAGACCAGGGAAGCCTGGGTGTGGTGAGCAGTGGCTGAGAATTAGACATTTCTTCAATGAGATGCTAGTAGCCAGCAATGGATAAGAGCCACAACCTTGCCTGCCTGCCACCATTTTCTCAGTGTGGAGTTCTGGACCCCCAGTGGAGACTCAGCCATGGAAACAAAGGAAGGGAATCCACATGTCTTGGGGATCTTGTTTCTGCCCTGGGCTCTGTGGTTTATTAGTGATCCCAAATGCCTTGCCCCTTGTTCTGTCAGTCATTGATCCCTCCATTGTGCTAGCCTCCTCCCGAGTTGCCACTTTGTTCTGTTTTTGTTTTTGTTTTTTGGCTCCACTCTTGCTCCCAGTCCATCAGGTTTGGAAGAAAAGCAGAAATACTTGCTAATGTCAGGTTGGCTCTAGTTAGAGCAGCACAGGGTGGCAGCCGGGAGCCGGGGTTTCTAGTCCTTGAGGCTTGCTCTCAAGACATCTTAGTTCTATTAGATCAAAACCTAATCAGAGTCAGCAAATGCTTCTCTTCCCAAAACAGGTCAAGTGCACAGTCAAGTGATAGCAATGTGGGATCCAGAGCCATGGGCTTCCTACCTGAAGTCTTGACTGGAGCAGACATTGGCTCTGAGAGAGGAAGGTAAGCTGTATGGGGGAGACAGATGGCTCCAACTTATTGATTCTCTCATGTCTTTGGTGACAAGCCAGGGTCAAGTTGCCAGAACTGCTTGGGTTGCTGGGGACTGAGCTCTATTACTTCTCATAGTCCTGTTTATAGCATGCTTCTCCAGTTGCTGCCACCACATCCTTTGTCTCTGGGCTTTCCACTTAAGGGAATTGCCCATGCTTGAGTTTTGTTCTGTCTACCTTCTGCCATTGGCTCTCAAGATCCTCCAGAGCAGACACAAGGGCCCCCTTGCAGCTGGAGGCCCAGCTCCTTCTTGGGCAGGCATCAGGAGGTAGGATGAATGTGTGGGGAATGAATGAAGGGACAAACTAAACAAAAAAATGACCAAATGATGGTCATTTGTTTCTTCTTGGCTGAGCTCTGAGGACTGCAGCTGAAGAAGGTCCTTCATCGCTGCATTCTCCATTCCCTTCCAGAAGCCCCAAATCTCCTTTTCCTGCCCCACCAGCCTTTCCTGGCCAGTTATGCTCTGTGGTTCAGTGAGAGGAAAAGCAGTAGCCCCTCTGAGAAGACAGGCATGTCTGGCTGGGCTCAAATTCCTAGACCTGAGTGGAGTCAGGAGCTGCTTTCTCAGGTGATTCAGGAAATGGCAAGGTCCTACCTGCCCCCAAGTGGTTTCAAGCCAAGCATGAGTCATCCTTGGGGACAAAGGATGGGAACGCTGATGTTGGCCCAGTTTGTTCAATTCCAAGTTGTGCTAGCTCCCTTATGGTTCAGAGCAAATGGACAAAGAGGAATGACAAAGCCAGGATCTGCCCTACCACTGTGCTTCAGCAGTTGCAAGGAAAGACTGCTGTGTGCTGGGGCCTTGGCTCTTTGAGGTGCCACTAGTGGGGAGGGCTCTCTGAGAGCCCAGTACTTGCAGACTGCATCACCTGTGCTGGCCAGCATGGTTGTGTTATTAAATGAATTTGCTTGTTGCTGTTGTAGACTTCTGCTTCATGTTTGAATATTCATCTAAATCACCCTTCTTACTTACACACCTTCATAAAATGAAGTCTTTGCTTTCTGCTTTCATTTTCTTTAAAGTGAAGCCAAATATCAAGTTACCTTACAAAATATCTGAAGAATCGTCTAGACTTTTATGCCTTTTAACCTTTCAAGATTCAAGAGTTTTTTTTTGTTGTTGTTTTACCTATCCTTATTTTGACTATGATTTTTAAGAAACTTCTTGTTATTATATTTCCAAGGAAAATGTTGTTTCTTTTTTTAAAGATTTTTATTTTTAAGTAATCTCTACAACCAATGTGGGGCTCGAACTTACAACCATGAGATAAGAGTTGTATGTTCTACCAACTGAGCCAGCCAGACACTCCAGAAAATGTTCTTTCTTTCTTTTTATTTAAAGATTTTATTTATTTATTTGTCAGAGAGAGAGAGAGGGTGTGCATGCATACAAGCAAGGGAAGTGGCAGGCAGAGGGAGAAACAGGCTCACTGCTGAGTGAGGAGCCTGATGCGGGACTTGATTCCAGGACCCTAGGATCATGACCTGAGCTGAAGGCAGATGCTTAACCCACTGAGCCACCCAGGCGTCCCAGAAAATGTTATTTCTCATGCAGGAAAGAACCACTCCTTTTCCATTCACTTTTCTCCCCCACTCACTTTTGTGAATAATTGAATTTAGTAATTATGGTTGTAAGTGCAACTGGGATAAACAGATTTGAGAACAAACATGAGTGTAGGCTTGCATAGGTGATGAGGTGAGCTGTGACTGCTCAGCATGCTGTGAGCATCAATCTGCCTGATTTACAGAGAGGCAAAGAATGCAACCTACCCTTAGGAAGACTGGGCAATTCAGCAACCTACTCACTCAGTCTGTATCAAGCTGATGGATACAGATGGACTGCAAAGGGATGCTGCTTCTATAAGTCGCCACAGGCCCCAGTAATAATAACAGAAGCAATTTAGCACATGATACGGATTAGGCATTATTCTAAGTACTTGGCATATATTAATTCATGTATTATTCTTGGAAAACTTATGAGGCGGACACAGTTATTATCCCCATTTCACTGATGACCAAACTGAGGTCCAGAGAAGTCAAGTGATATGCCTAAAATCACACAGCTGGGAGGTAGCAAAGTGCTGATTTGAATGTACGCAATGTGCCTTCAGGGAGCATATACTGCCCCATTGTCAGGCAGCTGTGGTTGCTAAGTGAGTATTATGCCCTGAGCATCTATTTGAACAGCCCTTCAGCTCTCATCATCTGTTGGAGATGGAAGCCATTGTTTGGGGAGGGAATAGACATAGAGACACAAAGTCCTGAACCCAGACCAAGCTTGGACTCCTTCATAGACTCTGCTTAGCTGCTGGCTTCCCCCCATTTCCTGAATGATCAGGATGTGTGTGTGTAGTGCCAACTCACAGCCTTGTAAGCCTAGTACCTACTCACAAGGATCCAAGCTGAGGTAGCAGAAGGGATGGCACTGGGAGACAGAGCTAAGGAAGAGACCACCCTGTAGGGACTGAAGCTCAACCCAGCAAGCAGAAGTCAGGAGGAGGAATCCCAGGGACAGCCAACCAGTACTAGGAGGCTCAGTCCCAGGAAGCAAATGGAAGTGGGTGAGGAGGGCTTATGGGTCCAGGGGTGCTAAGGGGCAATGGGAAGGGGTTGTGCATCCCTACACAGTAGGCTTTTGCCCTATTTCATCTATCAGTCCACCAGTAGAAGGGGCTAGTTTGCTGTGGGTGTGTAGAACATTCACTAAGAAGCAATCTTCCTGTACTCCCACACAGCCCCAGGAGATGTAGGTCAGGCAAGGATACTGGAACCCAAAACCAAGAGCTGATCAGGAGCAGTGCTTGATCTTGAACTCAGATGCTAAGAGTTAGGGAGATACCATCCTTTAAGGCCAGATATTGCTCCCCCTTTCCTATGAGAAGACAGCTGGGAAAGGACTCCAGTCTCCTTTGGTCTGCCTCAGTAGGCATGTGTGCTTTCTCCCTCAGTTCCAGTACTACTCTGGCCTCTGCTGGACCAGCTGATCAGAAGAGTGACAGTCCAGCAGACCTGGAGGATAGAGAAGCACACCTGAAGGGGTAAGGCATCAGGCAACAGTGCTGAGCTTCTTAGGTGGAGAGAGCAAGTCAGGTATGTGTCAGCCTTTGGCCTAGAGGGTGAGGCCAGCAAGGCCTGTGAGCATGTGGCAGGAGCTGAAGCCCCAGCTAGAGCCCTCTGGCCTCTGCCTCTGGGGCCACAAAGCTTTCCACTACACCTTGTTGCCTCCAGCCAGGAAGTCTTCCATAATCAGGAAGTCACCCACTCTTTCAATCAACAATCACTGAAATGGCACCTACCCTGTGCTGGAGGCTGGAGCAAACAGATATGGCTGAAGGGAGGCAAAGCCTGGCCCACACTGCAACTATATATTACGCAGAAGCAGGGAAATGGGGGACAGCTTCATGGGTTAGGTGGCTTTTGAGCCGAATCTTGAAAGGTGAATAGAGGTCCTTCAAGCAAAGGAAACAGGATATGCAAAGGATTCCAAACAGCCGGCTATTTCCTGGGCACTATATGTAGTTGAGTGTGGCTAGTACTGAGGGTCCTTGTCAGGGACTGGTGGAATAGAAGGGGCTGATTGGCATTTAATACCAGATATTGTTAATGATCACAACAACCATTTAACTTTGGGTCACCTACTGTGTGCACAGTCCTCAACTCACTGTGTCTTATACAGTGCTCCCCACAATCCTGTGAGGTTTGCACCTAATTAGAAGGAAGAACAAAGGTCTGGATCCTAGGTATATGTGCCCCCCTGGGAAGAACAGTGCTCTGAAAGAAATAGCCAGGGTGCTGATACAGAGTGGTGGCAGTGAAGAAGTCTATTACTCACATGAGGTAACTTGGGAAAGTTCCTGTAAGGAGGAGAAGGAACCAATTCTAGGAATATCAAGGAGAAAAGAGTTGCAGATAGAGAACTGCAGACAAACCTTGCCGTGGAATACACTAGAGTGGCTGGAGCCTAGCCAGTGACAGGGACCATAGATAGAGCAGGGCTTTGGTAAGCTATCAGGCATGAAGCCCTATTATGTGGCTTTTTGGGTTCAAATTGCATTGACAGTTAACACAGTGAACACAGTAACTGACACCTATAGTGAGCTCTGCTGGATGCTTTACAATCTTTCCAGCAGCTCCATAAAATGAATAACCCAGGAAAACTGAGGCAGAGAAAGGTTAAGTAACTCATCCAAGGGCTTACAAGTGGTAAAGCTGAGTTCCAATGCAAGAGCCTCTAAAAACAACACTTCAGGAATAACTTCAAGAAGTTATTTTATGAAATCTGTTGTGTGAAACAGATTCTCAAGATACAGAACCAGTAAGTCTTAGGTAGTTAAAGTGTAAAGCACCCTGTCTGCGTGATCTCATCCAATTTTCCCCAAACTTGGGTTAGGATCTCTCTTTTTATTATGCAATATGACAACAGAGAAAATTCTGGCTGCACTTGAGAATCACCAGGAAAGTTAAAAAAAAAAAAAAAAAACTTCCTGAGCCCCGTGCAGAGGTTTAGACTTAATTGGTTTTTAAAAGATTTTATGTATTTATTTGAGAGACAATGAGAATGAAAGAGAGAGCATGAGAGGGGAGAGGGTCAGAGGGAGAAGCGCACTCTCCGTTGAGCAGGGAGCCCCAGGCTGCACTCAGTCTCAGGACTCCAGGATCATGACCTGAGCTGAAGACAGTTGTTTAACCAACTGAGGCACCTAGGCGCTCCTAGATTTAATTGTTGTGTGGTGGCTTACAGCACCCAAATCTTAAAAATCTCAGTTTATTTTCATGTCCAGTTTGGGTTGAGAATCATTGCTGGCTTTGCGCGTGCGCTTCTGATTGGCGCGCGCCCACCATAGTGGAGGGCGACACCGTCATGTGTGCGCATGCGCGGCGGGGAGAGCGTGCCGCAGTTTGTGTGCGCCTGCGCGCACCGCCATTTCCTGCATGGGGCGCTCGGGTCGCAGTGCCTATTGGGAAATGCGACCATCCCGAAAGCGAAATGGCTGTCCAAGGCTGCGAAGGCCCGGGTACAGCTTCTCCTTCTGCCGTGCTGGTTCCGGGCGCTAGATGGCGCGCGAGGATCAGAAATGGGCCGGGTGCTCCGTCAGGGCCGCCTCGGGCTCCCGCCGTCGTGGCGCCGCGGGCCTGGAGGAAGCAGGCGGCGTCACCGGCCTTGGGGTTGCCGCAGGCCCTTCGGACCCCGTGTGGACCATGGCCGCACTCCAGGCAGAGGCGGCAGAAAGCGGGCGGGCTCGGTGCCCGCAAGGAACTGAAAGGGGTTCCTGTGGCCCCAGCCTGTTTGCCGGGGTGCCCTGGCCTTGGTTGTCTCCGGCCACTGATCTTCAGAGCTGTCTGGAGGCAGGGCCTGTGGACACACGGGAGGGCAGCCAATCTTCCATCCACGAGGGACCACCTGGGCGGATCTGTCTGTAGGGCTCTGGGGTTCTGGCAGCTTAATTTCCAAGAGTTGTGTGGGAAAGAGTGTTGGGGTTGGGCAAGGAGATCCTGCAGAAGTTCTATCACTTACTCGCTATGTGGCCTTGGGTGTATTTCACATCTCCAAGCTCATTCTGCTCACTGCGGGACAGGCCAGTAAGTGGAGAGGCAAGATGTTAGCCTAAGGAAAGTGACTTTATCCAGAAAGCCAGCAAACCAAGGAGATGGAGGACTATTATCTAAGGAACTGTCTCCTCTTGGCATGAAATTTGAGGTTCTAAAAAAAATCAAAAGAAAGTTAGCTGAAGGGCAAGGAGGGGGTGGAATTAAAAGGTGACTAGCATCCATAGGCATCCCAGTGCAAGGTTGTGTAATTTCTATGTACTTGGTCAGTTTATCTTTGTTCACAGGAGTCTGGTCATGTTGTTCCTGTAAATCTTAACATAGTCATTCTGAGCATGCCTACTTATCTCCTTGGTGAGGTAAGTTTTGGGTAAAGAGTAGTTTTTGAAAAACATGGCTGTAGCGTGCCTACATGCAGGGCTAAACAGAAGTTTCTAAGCTTTAGGTCATAGTAGCAAGGAAAATGGAAAGCAATATGGAGTCAAACATGCTAAGTTTGTTCCTATTACACTCTGTATTTCCTTACCTATAGAATAGTGGTAGTAGCTACCTCTCAGGGCTGTTGTGACGGTTAAGTGAGTTTGTTTGTGTAAAGTATATAGGACATTCACTGGCACAAAGTACTTATGTCAAACTTCCCTTTTATAAATACTTAAAGCTAAATAAAGCAGCCCCAAAGGAATACCTTCTTTTACTAGAACTATTAAAAAAATACTGGGAAAGCTGGCTGTTGTTCCCTTATACAGTTTTATTGACCTGATTACTTTTAATAAGACACAGAGTAGTTCATCCCCTCCCCAGCAAACTTCTGGTATTTTTACATTTAAAACAAGAGTTTTCCTCTTTGTTATGTTGCAAGGCTGGGGTTTCCACATTTACGTTCTTTCTGTACGAGGAACAGGTAGACCTTAAGCTCATGTATTCGCTGTGAACAACCATTATCTACCAGCAGAGGAGTATTTTGGAGGTAGTGTAAGAGTGGAAGGGGGTGTTATCTTCCATGTGGGGAGTGCGATTGTGTGCAAAATAGAAGCTCTATTAGGCTACTGAATCTTTAATCCAGTTACAGCTAGAACTAAACACTTGACTTCCAGGCAATTTATTAGGGGCATGGGGGACATCTCTCCTGTGACTGTTTTACTAAGATTTCCTTTTTATAGGCCAGATGGATTACACCTCCTATAATTGTAGTGACTTTGCACTGAGGCCTAGGGCAAAGAAACCTTATTCATCCACTTGTCTTTGTGTTGTAGTGGACCCCCAAATTACTCTTTGCAAAGAATCTTGGACGTAATTCACAAATTGATGATGTCAATCTCTGTTACCATAATTTTATGAAGGACAGGAGATGGGACAGGATTCTGATTGACTCCATGGCAAAGCTAGTTCAGGGCTTACAGAGGCAGGAAAGAAGCTCTCTAGGCCTTCTAGGTTTGTCTTTCATTCAAGCATGTATGTCGCAAATAGGGGTGCGGTGGGTGCGTCAGGGTATTTTGCTGGCTAAGGGACTGGCATTATCTGAGAAGACCACTTTTGGCATCTAGCTGGACTGGAACAGACAATCAGGTTAGAAGCAGCACAGAGAGGGACAACATCTACTTGCCTGCAGATTTTCCCGGGCAGCTGGTAATGGTAATAATCTTATTATCCCTGCTTAGGGTATTTTGGCTTATGTCACTTGAGGCTGAAGAATCACATTGCTCCCTTTGTTATTTCAGCTTGAAGGCACGGAGCATAGCTATTATGGGATTAACTTCTATGAATAAAGAGTCTCAGGGTTAGTGGTAACTGGTAGTGTTATCTTCTTGACCCTGGGTAGCCCTGCCAGTAATTGCAGGCATGTGCTGATGTTGTGAGGCTTGAGTTCAGATTAAGCCAGGGTCCAAGTAATGATGAACTAGATTTTTATTTTCTAGAATGCTGGGCTTATGTGCTCAATAACACAACTCAGTGTCCTTGGTCTACTGAGCATATATCTTTGAGGCCTCCAGGTAACAGTACCATTACACATAGACGTCATGAAGAAGGCATGCAGAAGGCACCAGGAGAAAGAACAGTGTCCCTGGAAGGATCTCAGATGGGGATGGTGTTGGTAAGGGTGTTTGAATGTAGTTGTGACATGAGGCCAGGGAGGAAGAAAGATCTTCCAAAGAGCTTGAAGTGTGGGATAGCCGAGAAGCCACTTTCTCCTTGCCAGATTCAGGGGATGGCAAAAGCATCAGAGCTTCAGGCTTTGTCTACTGTGAGTGGGGACTGCTTTTATCAGTGGCAGGGGGAGAAGTAGTGCTGGGGTCATTCCAAAGAGGACACAGACTGTCTGTGGTGGGGGCCATACTAGGTTCTTCTCTTCCCCATCTTCTGGAAGAAGAGCCCACTGTGGCCACAGGAGGTAACATCAACAAGCATTGGGTAAAGGAGGACTGGTCCCAAAGCACTTGCTCCATAAGGATATTTACTCTTCCTCAGCATCTTGGCTGGTTCTGAAGAAAAGAATGTGGCTGCCAAGGTGGGAGAGACCTGGCAGGAGAAGCCCGCAGCCCTGAGAGGTGGCCAGGGAGACCCAGCTGCACCCTCCCAGCAGCCTGCATCCCCCAGGACCCCAGAGCCACAGAGCAGCCCCAGAAGACCTGAGCAGCTTGTGGAACTGGACAGCCAGGCCAGCAGGTAAGGGTTATGCTGTGCTGGGCGCCTGCCTACCTGAGCTGAAACTTTGTCAGGGGCCATGATCCGGGTAGGACCCACTTTTTAAAAAAGATTTATTTGTTTATTTTAGAGAGAGAAACCTCACAGAGACAGAGAGAGAGGAGTAGAGGGAGAGAATCCTGAAGCAGACTCCCCACGGCATGTGGAGCTTGATGCAAGGCTCAATCTCATGACCCATGAGATCATGACCTGGGCTGAAACTAAGAGTTGGTCACTGAACCAAGTGAGCTACCCAAGCACCCTAGATGGGATCCACACTTACCCCATGTTCATGCCAGTGCCTGGCACTCACTCAACCAGGTGCTCAAAATCCTGCCCCATGAGTGGAGTTGGGATGGTGACTCCCTAGGTGTGAAGCAGTGTTGAGGGGCTTCCTGTGGTGCAAATAGCTGGGATAGGGACTGTGATAGAAGCAGGTGTGTGAACCTAGAGGTAAGAAGCCCTGGCTAATTTCCAGCATGTGGAGCAGGAAGGCATCCCAGGATGGGGTACCAAGTAGGATGAGGATTATTTGTATGTATAAAATGGCACCATGAGGGAATGAGAGAGAGAGATAGATTGAGATTGAATAATGACACATTTTCTAGGCAACCTCATCCACTCTATCCCCCAGTATAATCTTCAGTCGCCCCAGACCTGTTTACTCAATAGCCTGCTGGACATCATTATCCAGATCCCCTACAGGAACTTTACATTCAGCATAACTCAAATGACTTTATCATATCTCTGCATGGTACCTCCCCCCAACTTCCTTGCTCTCTCTCAGTTTGGAGCCATTACTATTCATCCAGTTGACCAATCCCAAAATTTTGGGAGAGCCTTGGTTCCCACTTCCCTTCATCTGTACCTTTTATAAGACAACAAGGCTTGTGGCCTTATCATCCCTCCCTTGGCTGAGCAGTTTCCTAACTGGTTTCCTGTATCATCTTACTTTATATCCCCTGGCTGATTGTCCACATGGCAGCTGGAGGGAATCTTCGTACAAGTCATGTCTGATCTGTTCATGATGAATGGAACATATTAATATTATTAATGTCAGTTTTGTTTTTGTTTAATGAATATGGAGTTTCCCTGGTCTCTCATTTATACTATTAGCCTCCCTTCCTCTTCCTCTTCCTCTTCTCTTGGGGAAGAATGGCTTATTTGTTGCCAAATTAGGAATAGGAACTACATAAACCCAGTTGGTCCAGTAATTCTCCTTGTATTTGGAAGCAGATGGCTTCAGATGTACAGCCAAGAAGGTTCCCCTTGAATTCTTTGCTTCTGCCTACAAGCCCCCAGGGCCAATTGTCCAGCCAGGCCTTGGCTGGTGAGTAAGGACCTATGGTTCAAGGATGCAAGGGGAGCCTTCCTTTTGGCTCTACATGTAAAGCCACTTGCTTCATCGGCTGACATTTATCTCCATTTTCCATTCTTCTTTTATCTAAAAAAAGAGGTGTTAATTATTGGCCCCCTAAAACTCTGAGTCTTTACAGTGAAAAAGGTAAAAATGAGAGAGAAATACAGATGGGTCAGAATTCTAAATAGTAATATTGAAAGGTCTTACAGCAGAAGAGGACATGAAGAGGGGTACTGAGAAGGAAAGTTTTGGATAAATGAAAGAACTTGGAAAGAGTACCATCATAGAAACTAAGCCAGGCTGAGCTAACTTTCCACTATACTGCAGACCCTTAAATAAGTGCACAGATTTGGTAAAATGGAGTTTATGGCTGCCTTAGGCAGGGGGTAGGTTGGGAGAGCAGAGACTTATGATGGAATGAGGAAGAAGTGGGCAGTGAGGTGGCGCAGTTGGTGGAGGTGTCCAACTCTTTCTAAAATGTTGGCCAGGAGGTGATGGAGATTGGATGGGTGAGCAGACAAATACAGCTACAGGATGATGGTAAGGGCTTTCTAAAGTGTATGCTTATGTGCCCATGTGAGGAAATACACTCTGGGTAAAGAGAGTTTGATATTTGAAGAGTGAGCAGACCCAAAGGTGAAGGATCACTGAATTTATGGTAAGGGCTTAGGGTGGTAAGTTCTAAAGACTTGGGAAGGAAGGAGATGGCTGTCTTAGAGATGGAAGGGAAGGCTGAGTGCAAATGCTGGTTGGAGGGCAGTAGAAGGAATATGCAGAGTAATGTGGGCTTCTTGATTCTTTCTGTGAGTTAATGAGCCACACCTTCTATAATTAAACCAAATTTTACTTAGTGACTCCTAGCCCATGTACTAAACACTGGGGATGCTGACAAACAAGATTTGGTCCCTGACCTCAAGGCAGTATGGATAAGGTATAATGGGAGCATAGTAGGAGTATGTGATTTGGTTGGCCTCATTGAATCAGGGAAGGCTTCACAGAGGTGACAGTTAATGTTCCTCTTGAAGAAGTTCATGAGAAGGTGAAGGAGGACTCCAGGGGTAACGGGAATCTCCTGTGCTAAAGGGCAGATGGCAGTGTTGCATGCTGGAGGAGCACCTTGTGATAAGCCCTGTGCTTTGATAAGGCTGTAGTTTGTGCTGCTTGTAAGATATGCCTCTGGGAACTTGAAAAGGTAAACGGTTCTCTAGACTTATTTGAACCTTTACCTAAATGATAAGAGATAAGGCTGACCACCTGGATAACCAGTACAAACAATATACTTTATGCTGAATCTCTGCTTGCCTCCTGGGAGTTGGGAATTTCGGTACATGCCAGGCAGAAAGTGCCTATGTGACCAGTCTCCAGTAATAATCCTGGGCTATAATGAAAACACTGCCTTTTCCTTTCACTGATTTTGCTTGGTATCCTTCTATGGTCATAAATCTTAGCCTTGAGGATGACTATACACTGAGTCTTAGGAGTCCTCCTAGTGAATCACTGACCCTGGGGGCGGTCTTAGGGATACCAACACACTGTATCAATCTCATAAAGGACAAAAGCCACATGTTTACAGATGGGCATGGTCAGATCATTATGCCTTAACAAGAACTTGGACTTTCTCCAGAGGGCAAAGAGAAGTCAGGAAAGTTTTTTAAAGGATCGTTTTAAAATTCATGCAACATAAAAATTAGTATCTTAACCATTTTAAAGTATGCAGTTCAGTAGCATTAAGTACATTCATGTTGTTATGCAACCAATCTCCAGAACTTTCTGTCTTGTGAAACTGAAACACTTTCCCCACGAAATAACTCCCCAGCCCCTTCTGCCCAGCCCCTGGCAGCCACCAATCTACTTCTTATCTCTATAAATTTGACTACTCTAGGTTCCTCATAGAAGTAGAATTATGCAGTATTTGTCCTTTTGTAACTAGCGTCTTTCAGTTAACCTAATGTCGTCAAGGTCCATCCATGTTGTGGCATATGTCAGTATATCCTTCCTTTTTAAGGCTGATTAATATTGCATAATATAGACACATTGCATATTGTTCATCCATTCATTTGTCAATAGACAGGCTGCTTCTGTCTTTTTGTCATTGTGAATAATACTGCAATAAACATAAGTGTACATATATCTCTTTGAGATCCTGCTTTCAGTCCTTTTGGGTATATACCTAGAGATGGAATTGCTGGATCATGTAGTAATTATATGTTTATGTTTTTTGAGAAACCACCGTGCTATCTTCCACAGTGGCTGTTTTCTTTATCATTTTACATTCCAACACACAGAGCCAGAAAAGTTTTAAGCAAGGGAGTGATATGGTCAGAGTTGTGATTTAGAGTTATCTCTATGTTGGCAGTGTGAAGAATAAACTGGAAGTGGGAAGAGTGGAGGCAGGGAAAAGAGCTACAAAGTGGTTCCAGTACACCAAGTAAGAGATGAAGGGCTCCCACTAGGGTAGTAGTTATGGATATGGACAGAACTGTTAAATAACTATAATGAACCTAGAATTGGGCAACTGATAAGACTTGGGGGAACAGTGAGGGAAGGGGGAGCGTTAAGTCAGAAAGCCCTATTTGTGGCTCCATGGGCATGGTGGGGTGTGTGAGTCCTTCTGGCCGAGGTTGTGGCCAGGTTATCCCCAAGCTACTGCTTCATTGCCTGGAGCCAATAGAGCCAATGCCCCATCCATGGAGATACCAAGCCAAGGAAGCACACTTAAACAAATTGGCAGACAAGGGAACCTGAGGCAAGGTTCTGGCTTTCAGATGGAAGCTCTGCCTGGTCTGGTCTGGATGTGTTGCTCTGGCAACACTCTTCTATTTCTAAGATGTTCATCGACACCCTGAAAATGTCCTTCCTTTTTTTCCTCCTAGTAGTCCACATCCTGGAGTATGCTGGCTATAACTGTAGACAGTTTTCTTTCTAGAACCAGCTGGGTTTTCTATTTCCAGTCTTTGGTTCTGGCCACTCATAGTATCTCAGTAGATTAGGCTCATCAGGAAGGGAGGCATTTGGAATTTGTGAGCCAGGGGATTAAGGATCAATTCTGCTAATAGTCCAAAGTAGTAAGCAGTCCCTCAACCCCAGTCTGGACATACAGCAGGAGGAAAGCCAGTCAACGCAAACCTACTAGTGTATAAGGTTTAACTCACCTGGGATTCCAGGAAGTGTAGAGTGAGGTCGACTGAGAGCTGCAGTGATGTAGGCAATGATAACAGCAGAATTATAAGGGAGAGTGGACAGAGGATTGGAAAAATCCTTTTATTTTAGAATGTCTGAATTAACCAAGTTAAACTCTTCCAGAGCCCAGACAAAATAGGGATTTCTCCTGGGTGGATACTATTTCAGATGGAGAGAATTGGTGTAACCCAGCAGAAGAGGATCAGAGGACACTCTATGCTAAGGGTAAAACCTTAGGCCGTGGGAGATTGAGTTCTTCCAACAGTTTAGCAGACTTTAATTTTTTTAAAGATTCATTTTTAAGTAATCTCTACACTTGACATAGGGCTCAAACTTACAACCACAAGATCAAGGGTCTCACGTTCCACTGACTGAGCCAGCCAGGAACCCCGGCAAGCTTTAATTTTTATAGTTCATGAGTGCTGTCATTTCAGAAAACCAA